TTGGGAAAATAAAGAACATATATATAATTACGGCTTTTTTAAAATCAATTTTGTAAGCTAAGAAATGATTCGTGAACTTGAGAGGATTAAAATTAAAATAAATAGACATAATATATCTAGATTATTCAACCAATATATATATATATATATATATATATATATATATATATATATATATATATATATATAATTGTTTATTTGGCGACAATCCCTATTTTATACAACTTTCATTAAAGATGACAAGGTACAGTCATTTTGTTTTTATTCAATTCTTCCGTTCGCATAAATGTTTTTTTCTGGACATGTGTAAAAATTACCCCCAAATTCTATATAACCGAGCGCTTTCGACTATTCTATTAGACATTATTAGGATTTAAAAAAAATTTTCAACTGAATATGTAAATTTTTATATATGTGTATCTATATTAATGGAAATGTTTTTTTCAAAAACACGGCCAGCACGTTATGGCCATGTTCCTAGTGTTGGCCTTTTCTTTTTGTATTATTAATGCTTCCATCATTTTTAGTATTTTTAAGGGGAGGCTATAGTAGACGAGTATTTCGCGGATGGTGTTTGGTAGGTTTACGTATGTTTAAATCAGGCCCAATTGATTTATGATCAGAGATAGATTAACATGAGTCTTTTTGATAGGCAGGTAGTGGTATGTCCAATATAATTATTCATGAATTTGGTTTGAACCCAGTTACTTAAGGGGCATGTGAATCCATAAATAATATAATTTTTTTTTATTTACGCACTCTATGTCCAGAAAAAAAAACATATAAGAACACAAGAAAAACATTGGAAAAAGCTCAATGGCAGTAACTTATCAGTCGTCTTTAATGAAACGTGTGTGCATATATATATATATATATATATATATATATATATATATATATATATATATAAAAAATAAAATTTAGTGAGAGAGTATGTATGAGAGAGGGACGAATGGGAGAAGTAAATGAAAGCTCTAGAGAGGGGGGGGGGTAACAGACGAGAAAAGAACAGGGAGGCCTAAAAAGTGAAGGTGTGGGTTAAAATTTAACAGAGTGCAGTTTTAAAGAGAGGTGTTAAATGACAGTTTAAATGAGTGAGATACAGATAAATATGAATTATTTTCCGATATATAATTCATTACTGAATCGCTGACCGAAATTAAATTAAAAACCAACATCGGAATTTTTACCCTGAGAACCCAAATTGCTTTATGCTTTATGCGATATTTTTTTACTTACATCATTTCGTATATAGTTGTTGAGTTGCGTCTCTTTAAATATACATACCTAGCACATGACGGGAAGGGCTTATCATCTCTCAGAGTGCGACACTGTTGCGGCTCCGTCGGAGGACAGAGGCGCAACTGAGGAAAATAATACTGCGAGGTGCCCAGCCCTGGGGAACAGCTGCCCGAGGCTACATCATCTCATTCCGCTAGAGAGAGAGAGAGAGAGAGAGAGACAGAGACAGAGAGAAAGATCGGTGCTCGCCACCGAGGCCAATGCAACCGACCCGACGCTTGTTGGGGCTCGGTGGATTTTTGTACTTGTTTCGGGTGTACGCGCTCGGTTTTCCCACGTTAAACGCGACTTTGTGTCACATCTCGTCTCAGTGGGGAGACAAGTGTAAATACCTACTGTATTGGTGTTGTAAGCAACATTTTTCGAATATCCAACACCTTTTTGTGGCCAATGCACGATCTTATAGGTGCTCTTAATAAAAAAGATAAACATCTTTTTTATTATTTGCCCATTGTAAATTATAGGGCAAAAAGTTGGGACCCCCTCTGCATTTCATAATTACTAGATTTATTTGGTTTAATTAACTCCTACTAAGCTAGGAAGCTGAAACTATTTAACTCATTAGTTCATGGCGTTTAATTTTTATAGAGGAAGGTTACCTAACATTTTAAATCCACCAACTCTAAGATGACCATGAGTCAATAAGGTAAAATAGGTAAAAAGTGTTAATGTTTTAAGGAAACTTTATGCAGTAATGAGTTTGTTTATTATTATTATTATATGTTAGTATGCTATTGTTGTTGTTGTTGTTGAATATATAATAAAACTGTTCAGAAAGAGAAAGTGGCTCTGACCCGAAGTGATCTTTTAAATTAGTTTTTGAAAAAAAGAAACGCAACCTGCAATTTTTAGGCGATACGACGAAATGTAGAGAGTAGCTGCAAATTACAGGGTTTGATGCATACATTGTTGTCTAAATTACACAAAAATGAAAGTAACAATGACGGATTTTAGTCTGTTTATTTACCAAAATTACACATAAATATTTTGAAATACTAGAGAAACGCCTCCCAGACGACTTCAGAATATCCTGCAAGTTTTCTGGAGAGTCTCCTTGTTTAAGTTACTGAATTCTGCCATAATCCTTGCCTTCAGTTCATCTTTGGTGTTACAAGGAGTTTTGTTCGTCTATCACTGAACTACACCTCACACATAATAACCAAGGCGGTTGCAGTCTGGGGAGTTAGGTGGTCAGATGTAAGTGGTGATGTGGTCGGAGAAATTGTCTGACAGCAATGACTGGATTCTCCTGCTAGTGTGGCATGGTGCAGATTCCTGTTAACAGATATAGGGCCTTTCAGCAGCCACTCTCTTGACCCAGGGTAGCACTAACTCCTCAAGTCACATGATGTAGGCCTACGTGTGGAGTCTGAGGCCCAGTGGGAAGATGAATGGATGCATAACGCCGCTATTGATCACTCCAAACACGTTCGTAATCACCATTAGACTCATCCAACTCTTTCCGAATCCTCAGCACTGTCCTCAGATTGACACCCAAACACACTGAAATATTCTCATTAGAGCTTCCGGTGAGAAAGCCAAGCAGTACAGCATGTCGTTTCCAAATTTCTTCGCAGCGAATTGAGTCATGGTGGGTTTTTTTCTTACTGACAGTGCCGAACTGACCCTACTATACTATGCAGTCGACAAAATATCTTGAGCCAGGGCAGAATTACCGCCTCAAAGCAGGATGAGGCTATATGAGAAGATGAATGGGGAGGCATAACGTCGCCATCATTTATCCATCGCACCCTGTATATATATATATATATATATATATGTGTGTGTGTGTGTGTGTGTGTGTGTGTGTGTGTGTGTGTGTGAAAAGTTGAATAAAATCCGACGGAATGGAAAATATTTTAGAAATTGTCATACTTTACACATCTTCTTCTGGAAAAGCATTTCCATATGTTATCTGAACTATCAAAGGTTTACAATAAGAATACCGTTAAATTAAGCTATCGCTGTAAGGGAAGACCTTAATTATAAATGATTCAAGAAATAGTGAAAAAAGCTGTTTATGCAACTGTAGAATTAAAAACCAAATTATCCTTAAAGAATTTTTAACTTCTTAAGCCTATCTTATTTTTACAGTTAGCCTAGTATCTTGTAATGTATGTCCTTGAGCAAACCCAAATGATTAGAAAAGTGGCAACTGGGTCTTCGATTTCGGGTTGCTGATTGTACTTCCAAATACGAATTTGATGTGAAATTAAGAGAAAATTCCTAGATGATATTAATGATTTAATGTTGTTTTTTGACGTCAGAATTATTGGTAAATATAAGAGTGGACGTTTGAAAATGTTTTCAATTAACAATCTACTAAAATTGTGGATGTGTATATATCTATAATGACAATTCTGTCCGTTTCAGTCTGTTTATAATTTGTGTGCATTTCGTTCTGAGAAAAATAAATTTATTATGTTTATTTTGTTTTGATTTTCAATTTTCTTAAATTAAGATTAATTTGTTTATCAACAATATAACTAATTTATTATTTATTTGTGGGCATAATGTTATTAATTTTATTTCAATAAAATAATATATAACAAGAAATGATATGTTCGGGTTTATTTTATTTTTAATTTTTCTTTTATTTTATGACAACAATATCTACTCGAACAGTCAGTAGTATAACCAAGGTGACAGGAATTTATATAGGCACACACACACACACACACACACACACACACACACACACACACACACATATATATATATATATATATATATATATATATATATATATATATCCTGCTTTTCTTTGTAAAGCTGATTGAAAATTTAGAATAGTATACAGTGGCGTAATGTGTGACGGTTATTGTGAGCGAGGCCACACCAAAAAGTATATAACTGTAGACTATTCCAAACTTTTAGCTTTCCAAAGAATACCAGGATGTAGACAAAGGAATTCTGCCTACCAAACAGACACCACACCTGTTCATGAAAATGACTAAAACGGTCAAAAGTGCTTCAACAAAATAGCAACACATGAACATTCAGACGGTTTATCCCTGATTTTGATCGCAATATACAGCACCTCATTCGATATTTAGAAAAATACCACAATTAAACATTGTCAGTTCATGCCCTTGGGAAAGGTATGAATCCTCTTCTTCCCTCCACCAAGCTATGGGTAAATAGCAAGGCAGACCAGGTTCTATAGCCCTGGATGGCAACTGGACTACCGCAGAAAGAAATGGCAACCGACTGCGGAAAAAATCTGCCTCGTCAGTCATGTATTGAAAGATACATGATCGCCTAAGCATGTATCACGCACGGCGCATAATTGACAGTTCATTTTAATAAAACTTGTTCGTATATATATATATATATATATATGCACTGCGTGCCAAATTATTATAGAGATAACTTTTTTTCTAATATTTCAAAAACCGTCCAATCAATTCACACAAAATTTTCACACAAATCTGCGCAATTACTGAAATTTTCTTACTGATCTGCTTTTTTATTTATTAATAAAGTTTCCATTATTTTTAGTCTTTTTTTCACATGTGGATGAGACTATTATATTTCTGTTATGAACGAGTATGTTGCAGATGGAGTTTGGTAGGTCTCCATGTGTGTTTAAATGAGACTTAATTGAGCAATGGTCAGAGACTCACGTTACAACTCTCTGACCATGTGTGTGTGTGCGTGTGTGTAAAATGTATGTCTACGTAAATCTACGTCCGATCATGCGTTATACCCAATCAGGCACCATTTTTGATTTAATTTTCTTTTTCGGAACAGTAAATTTCTTCTCCTTGTTGAAAAGTTGCAACCGATGTCATCAAGTTCATGCAAAAAAAAAAGCAAAAAAAAATCTTTCATCCATAAATACCCACGAAAAAAACATTTTACAGAAAATAAGAGAATATAGAAATATAAATGAATTGATTTCTATATTTCCTTTCATTTCACAATTGGCGCGGGTCCTATCGATATATCTATCTCAGCATGTTCTGATCTATCTATCATAATTTGGTTCTATCTATCTATCTATCTATCTATCTATCTATCTATCTATCTATCTATGTCTTTTTCAAATCTCACATCTTTCATTTCTGAACCTGGCCGGGGTTGATTTTGACAAGTTATCAGTTATGACTAAGTTCATTCCGACACTCACCTGAAGCCAGTTTTAGTCGCGGTAGCAAAGTTAGATGCAAGTTTTGAGGCACTTTTATGTAAGTCGAATCGTTTTGTTCACATAGCATGGAATTTAGCACTGGAAATCCTACATGAGTCTGAAATTGGGAAAGCGTAAAATCCAATTCCTCGACTTAAGATTTACTTAATATAATTCTTTTACTTTTTTCCCAAATAATAGCCTGACACAGGATGAACATCATCGCCAACAAAATCTCCTGTTTGGATTTTAAGGTAGTTTATCCGGCATATTGTTGCTATAAAAGATCATAAATTTGCATTACTTCCAATTTGAAAATAATTGCCACCATGAACTCTTGGAAAATTATTTAATTCTAAAAAATATGTAATTTCACAAAATATTTCCAGTATCCATATTTTTAATACAAATGTTTTACTGAATAATATATTTGAAATATGGAAAACTAACTACTTTGCAATTTTTTGTGATATGCATCTCCCCACTCGAATCCATCTTGTCGTATTTGGAACTGAATAATCATTTTTGTGCAAAACCATTTCTTTGGCTTCACATGAAAAGATTTTTACGTAAACTGACCACAAATTAATTAATGAATATTTTTTATGACATTGACATATTATTCAGAGGACTTATAAACAAATAATTATCGTTAAACGGTTAGAATTCATGCTCCCCTTTGGTGTTCGTTGTTCGTATTACAAGCGCAACAGGATTTGATTTTAAATCTTGATTTTTTTGCTACCAGAAAAGAGATTATACAAAATATTATGTAAAAAAAGAGCCTAACTTTGGTTTCTGGTCAAATAATGTTCTGCTAGATGTCTAAAGAAAAAAATGAAATTTAGTTTGGTTAACCTGATGCGCATGAAGAGTTCTGTTTGAACTTCTCGGTAAAATTCTTTTTGAATTTTCCAAAACAAAATTCTAAAAACATACCCCAAAGTTCAATTTGTTAGCACAGAAATTTTATTGGCCATAACTCTAGCCATCATACCAGACAGACGAACAAAAAAACATTTCCTTAATTATAGTAAGATAATTATTTGCGGATAAATAAATAACGAGAAGTACTCTGAAATGAATTAAAATTCATATTCCATTTCAAATTTAATGTTAGTTTTAGAAACCGTAATAAGCAGCAATCTTGTGTTACTGTTTTTGAATATACAGGGTCCGGCAGAAGTCCCTCCGACATGTTTAACTGTCACCAGTGTAGTGCTAGTAAACTTAGACAAGTGGCAATTGTGTCATCTAGCAAATGCCTTACCATGTTTGTTTTCATATGTCATCAGTTACCATAATAGTTTGGACCCTTGCACACAGTGCGTTTGTTGTTGAAACTTTTTATGACTGGTGAATCTGTAATTACAACACATGGATCTTTTCATGCTCATTTCATGTTACATTTGAATGAGGCTGTTCCGGATAGAAAATCGATACCGATATGTGTTGAAAATTTCAAGGACACAGGTTAAGCGCTTAAAAGAAAGTCATCTGAAAGAGCTCGAAGCTCTCGAAAATGTCCAGGCTCTAGAAATCGTCTACAAAAATCAATGGCGAATAGAAGCCACCATTTTGAGAATGTCATTTTTAAAACCAAAACTGTAGCCCTTTTTTTAAACAACAGTGAAATATTTTTTTAATAGCAGTCACCTTGGGGTTTTTTTTAACGTTTAAAATGTGGGATGTATTTCTGTCGTATCTTATATATACTTACAAGTCTTCTTTAATAAATTGTGAAAATATTCACGATAGAAAAGGAAAAGAAAAATAATTGGAAAGATCAATAAAATAATGCTATTGTGAAATAATGATACGTTTATTTTATTAAAAAAAATATTTCTATATAAAATTATGTAAAAAAGATTATTTTTACAAAATGAAGTTATCATTATTTCATGGATATTTATATGAAACCATTAATGATCTTTTCATTTTCTCCTCTTTCAGTATTAATAAACATACATATATATATTGACAGATTATAAATGTACAAAATTAGGTAGATGTTACAGTAAAATATATTATAGATATAACCACACATAGTATGAGTAAAGTGTGAGCACACACACACACACACACACACAGAGAGAGAGAGAGAGAGCGCGCCCATAATACTCAAATTGGTGGGCACAGTATTGTACACACGCAAATACGAATGCAGGAAATTTTGGGTACACAACTTTAGGTTAATTTTCAGGATATTTTCCATCTCAGTTCTCCCATCGCGAAATAATAATTTGCAGAATTAGTAAGTCAGAATATAATTTTCCATCATAGGGGGGAGTCAAAAGAGTGACGTGATTCTAGGTTAAGCTAAGTAATCGTCTGTCTCCAATGATATTTTCGCGCTCTCTTTCTCATTCCTCCAGCTGTAATCACAACAAATGCTTGCTGCTCAGCCAATGAAAATAGATATCACTACATGACGTCAGGTTGTCGACAGAAGCATAAAAGAACGACACATGATCATCGAATGGCAAAACGGAGACTATAGCCCATCGGATCGATATTTTTTATTGTTTCCTGAAATGTCAGCGCCGAGTCAAGTACTGTTGCGAAACAGGGAAGAGTAGAAGCAATTACGTCCATAAACATAACTCGGTACATACTTACGATGTAATTTTCGATGTTGTTGCCTCTCGGGGTATGTTGCTGGGTGGTAGGAAAGGAACAATAGTGTTAGAATGATTCAACAGAGAGAAAATTAGTTCTGCTTTATTATCAGTCCATGTAAGTAAATAGCCAAACTACGTTCTATCTATCTATCTATCTATCTATCTATCTATCTATCTATCTATCTCAGTGTTTCTCTCAATATATCTATCATAGGTTCTTTCTATCTATCTATACAGCATAGTTTGTTTTTATCTATTTATTTATCTATCAAAGTTTCTTTCTTTCTATCTATCTATCTATCATAATTTGTTTCTATCCATATATTTTTTAATCATTTTATAGTTTCATCATATGTTCTTTCTATCTAGCATAGTTTGTTTTTATTTATTTATCTATCATAGTTTCTATCTATCTATCTATCTATCATAATTTATTTCTCTCTATATATTTTTTTAATCATTTCACCCAAGCAAGACAGGACTACCACTAGTACGGAGGGAGTTATAGAGAGTGAAAGTGAGCGAAACTGAGACTGAGTAGAGGGGAATTAAAGAAGGGATAAAAGCTGAATGGGGTTCAAGAAGATAGATGATGCCGACAGACGCTGCATTTGAATTTCTGAAGATTATAGTTATCAGGGAAGCAAATGAATAGAAGGGAGTACCAAAGGCGGGAAGTGCGTGAAAAGAAACTGTTGGAGTAGAAGTAGCGGTTACATTTACCTAATTGAACAATAAAAGGTTGAGACCTAAATGCCAATCTAGTTGCACACTTAAACTCACGTACTCAGGACACCAGGGAAAAAGCTCGTCAGAGCAGTAGCCATGAAAATATTTGTAGAAAAGACAGAGGGAAGCCACATCATTGAGAAAGTGACTGAAGTCAAGATGATAAGTCAGGATTGATTACATTGCAGATCCTTCTTTGGATTTTGTCAAGAACCTCGAGATGAACGGCAGGAACACCAGACCAGACATGGCAACAGTTGTGACGTCCCTAAACACAGCCTTCGCTCGCTCCTCGCTGCTTCGTTCGGGTGTCGCCGCTCCAAACGTGACGTCCGCCTGTTGCGTCAGTCGTGTTGTCCCGTCCTGTGACGACCAACTGGCTTCGTATCGGTTGCGGCACCCAAATGTGACGTTCTAACCTTTTGGTGATTCGGATGGGAATCTGGTTAGATTCGATATCAGCCTCGTCGTTCCCAACTCGCTTCCAACGTCTGGTTACCAAAGTAACTGCGTTGATCTCCAGTCTGCCTACCCACGTTGTGAATTGATCTTAGGCAGACGAAATCAATCAGTCGTTAGGACCGTAATGCAAAGTGAGTTCAAACGAGGGTAATATCACACAAATATGTATAAAAGAAAATAAAATGATAACTCAAAAGTTCAAGGTATCAAAGAAAAAAAGGATAACAATACTTTATATCAGGTTGCTGGATACATAGGACTGCGTATATCTCCCGACCCGTTATATGGATTGTGACACGTTGTTCTTTGCTAGGCGAGTTCCAACATCTTAAGTTGTCTGTTCTTTAAGAAATTGGTTCTTGGTGTGTCTTCAGGCGAACGTCGAAAAACTTATTTTGGTGGTATGGATCTAAGTCGCTCTTCAAAATAATTGTTCTTGGATTGAAGATGAGTTCGGAAGTTGCGCGAATCTTAGTCAGCTGCGAGGCCTGCTTCAACTGAACACTCTTCTCTGCTGAACTCTCCGGGAAACTCTCCGGAAAACTCTACTCGACTCCACTGATTTCTGCTCGATGCGACTTTGCTTATATGGACGCCGACCAAAACCTGGGTGGGTTTGTCGGGGTTGGAGGTTCCTCGATAATTCTAAATACATATCCACTTCTTTTATTTTTGGTTAGGAATTTTCCACTTCTTTCCATTTTTGGAAGTCTTCTCTTACTCCCACCTTCTCACCATACCTCAGAGGGGCGTCAACGGTTCTCCCCACTTCTTCGTAGCAACTTCTCATACCTATCCTCTAAATGGGCGGCGGCGGCTTCCCTCCTTGCGTCACGTGATCACCTCCGCCCGGCCCTCGCCACCACTCGGCCAATGGTGTCCAGCCGGGTGTGTGTGATACAGCTGGCTTTGTTTTAGGAAGAAAAAAAAATATATCTTGCTCAAAAAATTTTTTTTTTCTTTTCCTTTTCTTTCCTTAATCGCAGCTCTCATCCCCAATGTCACCTGGGATCTATCAATGCCAATTATCAAGTGAGGCAGTCGTCCAGCGAAAACACAGTCGACCGTCGTCTCGAAAAAACAGTTCCATCGTTCTAGTCGTATTTGCATTCTTGGTGCCAATTTCTGATAATATTGTTTCGCCCTTATCGCTTCATTCTAACAAAACCCAGACCTTGTCTAACGATATCTTTCCCGACGAAGACTTAACCTATTTCCTTTTGTTTTCCTTAGTTCGTGGGTGGTCAGCAGTCCGTGGCACAGCTAAATGTTTCTTATCTATCCAAAACTTTATATTCACCTGCTTTCTGTCAGACAGCTCTACGACACCGGCGGCCAGAATTTTTACTATTTTTTTTTCCATTATCCAATTAACATTGTCAAGGTCTCCAAGTTTTCTGCTAGCCAGTGTTAAGTGGCTGTTATCTATCCCCGATAATACCAGTTCGCCACCAGAACATAGTCGATTTTCTTATCCACTTAGAATTTTTCTGATATGGTAATGACACCTTTTCGCCATTTGCTACTTATCAAAATAACATTGTCAATGTCCCCGGTCGTGGGTGGTTTCTTTTATCATCTACGCTTAAGTCTCGCCTCTCTTTTCCTTTCTTTCCTTTCTCTTTTCCTTTCTTTTTTTTTTTTTTTTTTGTCCTGTTAAATGTTGTCACACAGTATCCAATGCACGGACGAATGGCAGATTTGTAAATATGCAAGATGGACTATAACAAGAGAAACCTTCTGGCGCGGCACAATGACTCAACTTTCCTTGCAGTAGATGCAGCTATTGATTCGATGGAGTCGTTCCACTTCAAGTCAGTTGAAAAGTGAGGCCAAAAAAAGCGCAAGTGTTGCTCTCCATAAGTCTAGCTTCAGCAGTGCTGATGTTTCTCTATGTCGGTTAAATGAAAGCAATTTCGTTTCGGAGGAATTAAAATTAATGATTGGAGGTCTTTCTCAAGAGCAGCGGCCAGGTCAACTTTGGCAACTCTGATGGATTTCCTATTGGGACAAGAATATATGGTAGTGTCATTGGGATATGCTACTTGGGAACTGATGACATCAGGAAGATCATTGATGATATCAGAAACAGCGTAGAACCTAGGGTAGAGCCGATTCAAAACGGCCTTTATTTCACAATTTGATAGGAATGATTCGATTAAATCATACAAACGTCCAGTAATACCGTAGCCCTGGATCTTACGTAGAAGACCTGCGTGCCTGTCAAACGCCTTCGAGATATCTAGAGCCACAGATCGAGCTTCGCCATTATTATCAAGAGCTTGATATACATATTCAGTGATGGCCGTTAACACATCAACGGTAGACCTGGCAAAACGGAAGCCATATTGTTTGTCACAGAGTAGGTGGTTAGAGGTAAGATGCGTAACTACTTCAGATGCTTCGAATGCTTTGCCGAAAAGCAGTAGGAGACTAATCAGGCGATAGTTAGAGGGATCAGAAGTTTCTCCAGAGTTCTACAGGAACTACAGAGGAGAACTTCCAACAAGCCGGAAAGCAGGAAGCAGCGAGGCAATAGTTGCAGAGTTTGGAGAGAATTGGAGTCAATTCGGGAGTACATTTCTTTAGGACGATGGCTGGGATCTCGTCACTTCCACTTGCATTATGGGTGTCTAATTTAGAAGTAATATCGGAGACTTGTGACGGGGTTATGCGCATATGACTCAGTAGAGCTTCTGTTCTAGGATGAAAATTAGGTGTGGTTACTCCAATTGCATTGAATGTTGATTTGGTAGAGAATTTCCGAGCAAAGCATTCAACCTTATCTGCTGTAGATCTCAGGGCTTCAAATTGATTGAATAGAGGTGGAATTGACGATTTGCTGTTGTTCAACGCACTCTTACAGAGTCATCCATAATCTCTAGAAACGAACTTGCGAAATGCTATATGTTGTTTCATTTTATCAGCAAACAGTAACTTCGCTTCTTTCAGGACATGCTTGCACTCGTTACGAGCAGAGACAAAGAGACGTCTGTTGCAATCAGACATGTCGCTCTGCTACAGTCGTGTGCTATAGTGATCAGGGTTACCACGAATGAAGAGCTTCATAGTACGACGAATCCGGGATAGAGGTAAAGAAGGGAAACGCATGGGGAAGTCCACCACTTGCGTGAGAGATTAAGGGTCTGGATTCCAGCGGCGTCAGTGACAGAGTGTTTAAACCATCTGGCATGGTGGGCATTAACATTGCCAAACACAAATATATTTGCAGACGGGTATAGGGAGATGACCGTGTCTATAATATCATAAATACTATCTAGCATGCAGCAGTTATGAGAGAAAAGGGAACGATAGAGAAAGAAGTGATAACTGACTAAATTAAGTAGAGACAGACTGAGACACATGTAAGAGTGGTGTGAGAGAGAGAGAGAGAGAGTAAACGAGAGATGTTCGCGAACATAAACTTCTAGACCATGCATGTGGACATTAGAGACCTTCCTAAAGAGAAGAAGATAGCCAGGAATCGAGAAATCAGAGGAGGGAATTGAAGAGTTAAGATTAGTTTTACAGAGAACTAGGGTGTCCGGTGATTTTTCGAAGAGGAACGATTCCACACTACAGATGTTGGTACGAATACCACGAATGTTGGAAAAAGAAAGGGTGAAGAGTTTAGGTGATTTTTGTCGAACTGGTATAGATTTGTAACTTTCGTATCTTTTGGTGTGTTGTTTTGGTAAGTACCATCAATCGGTCGTAAAATTTAACATGTGAAGGAAGGGAACTGGCGCAGACAGCAACATAGTGTGGCCTCGGGGGGGTTGCCCTACGGAGGTGCTTGCAGGGGCACCCCTTCCATGCACGAGATGGTACTGCAAGAAACCTGATATTATGCAACTGTTGAACAGAGCAGATTCTGAAGATGCTACGCAAGAGTTCCTGCTCCATACAACCAATCAAGAACAGTAACCAGAAAACTGCCAACCCGGTGCACTATGTATAAAGAGATGTTGCTACTGTCCATACGTATCACAAAAAATCATGACAACACCTCTTTTAAGGCCCGAATAAAGAAAGAAAACGAGAATCCCTTCCTAAAGAAAAAAAAAAGGATGAGCCACTAGAGGGGAGAGGAGTATGGATCGGATAATAAGAAAACCTACCTACTCATATAAAAAAAACAAAACAAAACAAAAGCAAAAACGAAAACAAACAAACAACACAGTTCTGGTTCTGATTTCCATTTAAGTGATTTCGAGGAATAAATATTCAGATAACTAAATTGGAGCATAGCTTCTATCTATCTATCTATCTATCTATCTATCTATCTATGTATATATATATATATAAGCATCATTTACAGTTTATATCTATCTATCATAGTTTATTTCTATCTATCTATATATAATAGTTTCTTTCTATCAATCTATATCTATCTATATATATATATCATAGTTTATATTTATATATATATGTGTCTGTGTTTATATCTATCTATCCTTATATGTATGTATGTATATAAAATAATTTGTTTCTACTTGTATATCATACTTTTTTCTATCTATCTATCTATCTATCTATCTATCTATCTATCTATCTATCTATCTAAGAGTGAGCTAGAAATACCTCCCACATTTGAAATGTCACCTTTGTGGTCCTCATAAACTTAAGTAACTGGCAATAGTGTCTTCTTCGAGCTAATGTATTACATTTTTTCAGATGCTATAAGTTGCAATCATTTCTTGGATCGTTATTTGCTGTTGAGGAGTTTTTTTCTTTTTTTTAAATGGTGAATCTCTAATTGCAAAAGAGAGCGATTTGCGTGCTCATTTTATGTTACATCAAAATGACGCTGTTCCAGATAGAAAATCGATGCTGCTATGGACTTAAAATTTCAGGACCACAGGTTGAGCGCTTTAAAGAAAGCAACCTGGAAGACCTCGATGCTCTCGAACTCCAGAAGATTTCCAGGCTCTAGAAATCGTCTACAACAGTGTATGTCGAATAGAGGTCACTATTTGGGAGATGTCATTTTAAAAACCAATGAATAAAAACTATAATTCTTTGTTTAAAAATGAGTGAAATAAAGTTGCTAATAGCAGTTAAATTAGTCATTTTGCAACCTTTAAAACATGGGTGGAATTTCTGCCACACTTTGTATCAATCAGTGTCTATCTATGAATTACAGTTGTACATCTAAAAATCACTGTTTATATATTGAGCTATTATTATTTCAGTTTATCTATCTATCTATCTAGCTAGCTAGCTTACTAAGCTATTTATATTTGATGTATCTCATTTATCTTTCTTTCTTCTTCTATATTCTCTGTTCGTAGCACCCTATTCATATTTATTTTGATATCTATCTATATCAATTGAAGGGAGCCTAAATAGTGAAAAAATATCTTTTTCAATCTTTGTTTTTCAAGTCTTCTATCAAAAATATATACATATTTGAATCTAATAGAAAAGTGAAAATGTCCGATCCATTTCTTCACGATTCAGGAAAAGTTCGTAGTCATCTTTGAAGGTTCAACACTCATGTATTTGTGAACATGCGATCAAAGATTAAAAAGGCACGGAAACATGACCCTTTTCTGCGCACAAACTAATAAATGGATCTACATATTTATGAGCAGTTATATATTCCTGTGTAAAATTGTTTTTTCCCTTCCTTTCCTCTTCCATTTACTTTCTTTACTTCTGTTTTGCTTTCGTTTATTGTGCATTTTTTGCTGTCGTTTACCTTTCTCGTCTGATTTTCTTCACTTATTTTTTCCTCTGTTTTTATTTCTTCACTCTTTTCCACCCCTTTCTGAATTTTCTTCACTTTTTGCCATCAACCAATTCAGTTAAAACTAGGAAAAATAGAAGGAAAGATAAAAAGAATGTACCAACCAGCGTCTCTGTGATGACGTGATAACCGCAGTTTGTTTTCGTAGAAGTTTATATCAACATGTAACTTAGTTTAAGTGCCAACATACACTTTGGCTAAAGGGAAGAAGGACTAAGCCACGACATGGCCGATATACGAGCTTGAGTTAACTGTCCGATGCTAGCATGAATACTTCGAGGAATTCAATATTCAAACAAAGAACGCCAAATTAGGATTGAAACGAATGAGGGGTATGGGGAGCTAAGATTAGCATCGGCATCAAAGAACATTATTCTAAACTCGGAGAATGAGTAACAGTAAATGAAAATAAAGAAATAAATTGAATTAATTAAATTAGTAAATACATAAATAAAATGAACAAGAACAAGAGATTGAAATTGAACGATTACTTACAAAGAGAATCAAGCGAGCTGACGAGCAACAGAGAACACATACTAAATATTGTTAAGTCGAACGAAATGCGAGTATTGGGTTTTTTTTTCTCTCCTATTTCATCTCCGGGTGGCTTTTGCACGCGACCCTATTTTAACTAACCAGAATCAGGAAGGAGGGCACGTTTAGTCTGGCAGTTATTCGCCGGCAGGGGGAACGTCAAAAACACACCAACATGGCCGAAAGAAGTTAAATGTGCAAAATATTCATTTTTGATTGTAGAATTATTCAAACAACCACATAAAATAGGAAAGATTTCAGTTGTTATTGATTCTTTATTATGTATGTATGAGGAGTTCATAACAAATAGTGTTATGCAAGTATCTATGTATTTGCATGCATCTTTATATATATATATATATATATATATATATATATATATATATATATATATAATTAGGACAGCAGCCGATTCTGCTATTTTGGTTTCAACATTTTTGTATCTTCAGGCGATTTCGTTAATTGATTTCCTAAAGCTTTATTTTTCATAAATGAAATAAAAATTTATGAACGCTATATTTTTTAAAATAAATAAATAATCGCACGAAATGAGGTGTGGTAGGAGGTGAGGAGGAGGTGGAGGGAAAATGAAGTGTATTGGAAATGTATCGGTGTGGGATTAAATGAAATATAATTACGTTCTTTTCATCCTACTTCAAATGAACTCAAAAGGAACGTTTTAGTATGTATATAACGGGGCATAATTTCCGATCTCTGATTTAAAAGTTTTTTGGTCTGGAAATGTTATTATAGCTGATAAATTAGCTATAATAGCATTTCCTCCTCCTCCTCCTCTCCCTCCTCCTCCTCCTCCTCCTAATCTTCTACCACACCTCACGTCGTGCGCCTATTCATTTATATTTCTTTTAATATAGCGTTCATAAATTGGATGATTCCCTATATATATATATATATATATATATATATATATATCATTGAATAATAAAAATTCATCGAGGGATGAGCCGTAGTTTTTTCCTATCCAAGTACTTTCGATCTCCTCCAAAATCATAATATAATGGACGACCCATCTTTATTAAATTATGTGCATTCTTACATTGGGCGGATGCTAGTCTAGGTAAAAACTATGAATTAATCTTACCTTGGGTGAAGAAAAAGACTAAATAGAGTAAACTATGCACAAATCCGGATTGGAGTCGCCCAAAGCACATGAATGACGTCATATATTGCTTCCTGACAACACCCGTAGCTGCGCAGGTAACAAATTGCATTGGTTTATTCTCTCTTTTGGGCTGTACCGGCAACGTCTGGGCAGCCAAAGATCTCCATAATTCCTGCTCAGGTTGCAACATAACATGGTCTCTCGAGACGGACAGAAGCCACCCTTAATGCAAATCAACTCGTTCTTTATAGTTTAATACAATCATGGACATCATTTCATGTTTACTGTATTCCATTTTCATGAGAAACAAATTAATATATAGGAATCTTAATAAATATTCTCCTTTTCCCAAATTAGAATGACTTCTTAACATATATTTCTGTGTATTTACATACATACTTATTTTTACATGAGTCATAAACTAGACAGATAGGAAGCTCATTAAATATTCTCCTCTTGCTAAATTAGAAGAAATACTTAATATCACAACATATATTTCTGTGTATTTAAATGCAAACTTATTTTCACATGAGTCATAAACTAAATAGATAGGAAACTTAGTAAATATTCTCAGCTTCCCAGATAAGAATGACTTCTTAATATCACAACATAATTTTCTGTATTTTTACATGCATACTTATTTTTTCTTTGTGAATTCACATCTAAAATCTTTTTTATGAGTCATAAACTAGATATATAGGAATCTTCTCCGCTTTCCAAATAAGAATGATTACTTATTACCAACACATTTATTATTATTACATACATACTTATTTTTATATGAGTCATAAACTAAATAGATGGAAATCTTAGCAAATATTCTCCTCTCACCAAATTAGAAGGACTTCTTAATATCACAACATATATTTCTGTGAATTTTACATGTATACTTTTTTGTACAACACAAGCAATAAATTTTCTTGATTTGATTTACAAATTTATGAAATCTATCTGGATGCTATAACCTTATTTAAGTAGCATCAGTTTTTATTAAACTATTGTGAGACCGGAACTACCTACACAATAGACTCTTCCAGGTCTATATTAAGTTGCGACATAGCACTCTAGAGAGTGACAGAGAGTGACACAGAGAGACAGTGAGAGTCTCGTACGACTACCAGTGTTGGACACTAACTTATAGTAAGCTCCGCTTACACTATCTCTGTAACCTGTTGTTAATATATCTTTCTTACATCTAATCCGTGTTCCGTGTTTTACTTCTGTGGTCCCAACTTTGGCCCCACATCAGTGGCGACGAAGATTCTAGAAACGCACTCACGGCGAAACCTAAATACCTTACCAGTTCCACAACAGTGGCGGCAGAAAGATTCGAGAATTTCGTTCTCACCATATCAATAGCGACAGTACTCGAAAAATACACAAACTACACACGTTCCCACAGCAGTGTTGAACGAGAAATTAAGCTGGTATTACTACATCAGCGATCTAAACGCAACACCCAGCGTCTACATATATAAAAATATATATCTATATATATTCCGATACCAAACAGCATTGACGAACTAGCGATTCGACATCTACGGAATATTAAAGTCTGTCCAAATAACATTACGAGAACGATTTCTACACACCCACACACACACAGAAAAAAAAAAAAGTTGTTCGTAAAACAAACTGACAATACAAGAGAAGTACTACCATTGTATCAGTTTTCGAAAAAAACTATCGAAAATATTTTTTTATGTAACTGAGTTGAACTCGTGCATAAAATTATTCTCCCCTCAAATTCACTGAGGTGAGTTTTCTCTTTTTGTACCTTTATAAAAAAAAAAAAAAAAACATAAGTGTGGTGAAAAATTATACAATTACGTTAAAATTAACGGAACCACGGAATCTAAAAAAAGCTAAACACATAATTAGTTTAGTTTAACTAAGTGTCTGTCCATATTTTTTTGTAAAAGAAAAAAAAGAACAAAAATCTATCAAGATTTTTTTGTGTACCTCCTCTTAGTACATGTGTTTCAAAGCAACAAAAAAGATGGAAGATTTTCAAAAAGCAGTTGACCAAATGTTAAAACTAAATTTGGATCAGCAACAAAAATCAGAAGAAAGACAACAACAACTATTTTTGGAATTACATAAACAACAAATGGAATTCCAACAAATTACGCTTCAGAATGCTGAACTACAACAGAAACAACTTAAAGAATTACTCGTAAATGCATTAAAAGGCTCAAACTCTGAAAAAGATA